GAAAAGATTCCCATTCAATAGATCCATCATAACGACGTATAAGGAATTTATATTCAATAGTAATAGGTTCATCAAAATATATCTCTCCTGTTCTCCATACAGGAAAAGAAATTGAATCTGTATATAAAGGTATTCCTTTATCTGGTATCCAATGTCCTAATTTATCATTACTGCCTACAAGCAGTAAAAGATCACCAGGACGCGTCAACTGACAGCGACAAGCAAAAAGAACCTGCAGCATTGAGAAAGAAACCTTCAATTATATATAAATCTGTCATATATAATACAAGACGCATAACAACTATATATACAACAATAAAAATCAAGAAAATATACAAAAAATAACTAGTTTTTTTACCAATTCTTCCTTTTGCTCGCCAATCGTGCCACCAACGCAACTCGACAAGTATTCTTGTATATATAAAGATCCAAGATATAAATAAGGAATTATTACCTATAATAAGATATTAATTCATGAAACTAACCATAAAAGTAAAAGAATTATTATAAATATACTCAATTTATCAGCACTTTCGTCAAAATATACCTATGCAGAAAATTATTTTCCTCTTTTTCTTCCTCACCATTCAACAAAGCTGCGGTGTATGTACACCATGTGTTGTTGTTCAATACATGCACAGTCTTATAGGGAGGGAGAGGAAAGGAGGGAGTAGTAAGTTAGCTATATATATATCCTTAATTATTTAATATTTTTATAAATATCCATTTATTTTATCTATTTTATTCTATTTATTTATTTTATTCTTCTTATTTTTATCCTCTTCTTCCCTATATTTATAGTCCCATCTACCCGTCAACACACACACCACAGCAGCCCCTGTTACGCGCCCTTAGTTGTACAGTGTGTGTGTTGTTTTTTAGTCCTTTATTTTAAATATATTCAGGTGTCTATGCAACTTTTATTAATATTATTATTAATAATTACATATTAACATCACTTCTGTTTATTTTATCGCCTTATAGTTGCTATACTGTACCCCTATACACCCTTATAAGTAACTAGTTAGTGCGTGCAGCAGCACGGTGCACGGTCTGTCAGTTAGTCTTATTTATGTGTCTTTATTCATATAATTATTCTTCTTAATAAAGAATAAATAAATTAATAATAACATTATACACTCTTATAGTTCATGAAGCTAATAAATACATCATTAATTTATATATATGTATATGTATATGTATATGTCTGTACATGCATACGTATATGTGTATATGTATGGTTGCATACACCATATATATTGGGGACTAAGACTTGCTTGCATGCATTAGGTTAGATATCCCTTTGCAGCAGCAGCAACAACAACAACATCTGCTGCAGCAGCAACAACAACTGCAGCAGCAACAGCAGCAGCAGCAGCAAGTGCTGCTGCTGCTGATAGCAGTGTCTCTCCTTCTTGATTAGCCTTTCCCATGGCTTGCTGCTGCTGTGCTTATAACAAAAATAATAATTAATTCTTTTTTATATTATTTATATGTAATTAATAAGAAAATAAATAAATAAATAAATAAATAAATTCTTTTTCCTAAGAAAAGGGACTGTCGATACACCTGGTAGTCTGTGTATAAAAAGTTGTCTTTCTTCCTTTTTACCTCCTTAATAAATAATATTTATTTATTTATTCTTTTGTTTATTATTATTATTATCTCCCCTTTTCCTTAAGACATTAAACTAATCAATAAAAAAGCAGCAATAGATCAAGTTCCTCTAAGGGCACTAGCTGCTGCTGCTGCTGCTGCTTCTGCTGCTGCTGCTTCTGCTGCTGCTGCTGCTGCTGCTGCAGAGTGGCGGGGAGGCCTCCATAGATATTACCCTTCCTACCCATATAGTACTTAGATCTTTCTGTCTCTTAGCCGTACCCTACATACCCTAGGGGGCCCCCCCTGTATTCTACGCGGGGGGCCCCCCTATGGTATAATAATTGTCCCTTTAATGGGTAATAAAGGGAATTAAGAAGGAGACACTTTTTCTTCCTTCTTATTAAGAAGAAGGAGACAAGTGTCTCCTTATGAATAACAAGAAAGAGGAGATAGTCTTTTATATATAATAAAGAAAAGAGAATAAGTGTTGTATATATAAGGGCCCCTTCCCCTTTGTTGTGGGGTTAAGGGGGGCCCCTTTTGGCTGCAGCAGTACTACCCTGGCTTATTTGGGGTGTATGTACAGCTGCAGCAGCAGCTGCTGCTGCAGCAGCAGCAGCAGCAGAGGAGGGGCCCAAGAGGTAATTTTGCTGCAGTTTATTTAAATTACGCTTAAGAGACGCAAAGACAGTCTCCTGCTGCAGCAGACCTGCAAAAGATTGCTGCTGCTGTGGGGCCCCACCAAGGGAGGAGGACGTGGGCCCCCCTGAGGTGGAGGAGGAGGGACTAGGGGCCCCACAGCCGATACACCAGGAGGCACAGGCCCTATCATAGACCCTAAGGATCTGCTGCAGCTCACAGCTAGCTGCCAAGGATTGGCTAGCTAGATGGCTAGCTAATAGATGTAGGGATCTAGATAAGGAGGAATGATATAGATGCAGCAGCAAATAACGATCTGCTGCACTGTTGGGGTGTACGTACACCCTAGGTAGCAGCAACTTACGACTATTAAGAAAAGATTCAACAGCCCCTAAGCATAACTCCCATCGTCCTTAAGAAACAAAAAACAAAAGCACAAAATAAATAATAAATATAATAAATATGTTCTTCTTCCTCTCTATACATGGAGGAAACCCTAAACCCTAAACCCTAAACCCTAAACCGTAAGCCCTTGTATGCATGTGGTACGCCTGAAGGGTGCAACATTTAAGCGTTTAGCTAAGTTAACACAAGGAAACCCCAATGTAGGGTTTAGGGTCTACGATTTAGGGTTTAGGGTTTAGGGTTTAGGGTTTAGGGTTTGTTGTGACTGACCTGCTGCAGCGGTGGATCTGACGGTAACATCTAAAAGTCTTGTTGCATGCCTTAGTGTGCTAGCAGCATTATCATTAGCAGCACGAGGAGTTATTCCTGCTGCTGCAGCAGCAGCAGCAGCAGCTGCTGCTGCTGCTGCTGCACGAGCAGGAGCTGAAGCACGTTGAGGTGCCTGTACACCTGAATTATCATGTTGAATTAGAGAAGAAATCCAGAAAGAAAATAAATCTGCTGCTGCTCTTGTGTATCTACATCTACCAAAGAATAAAAGAAGAGAAAATATTAGAGGAAAAGGACGAAGGATTTGCTGACACAGAGAGTGGTCCAATGGTCCGGTCTGAATAGGACACACACCCAACAACCCCACCCATAAACACACTCCTGCTGCTGTTGCTGCTGCTGCTGCTGCTGTTATTTTTGTTGTTGTTGTTAGTACGAACATTCCTCGGAAGCGAACCGTAATAGACACAAATGCATGCGAGGATGTGCTGCTCGCTGCACGGCAGCAGCACAGGCAGCAGCTGCTGCTGCACCAGCAGCACTACCAGCATGACTACAGCCAACAGCAGCAGCAACAGCAACAGCAGCAGCAGCAGCAGCAGCAGTATTTACCTTATAGAGGAGCTCAAGAATTGCCTGTACATTACGTGGGGCCCCTCGTGCCATTTCTGCCTCCAAGGCGGATGACCAAAGAAGAGGAGGAAGACGCAACACAGCAGCCATATCCGATTCGCAGCAGCTTAGAGGAGAAGGCGGATGCTGCTGCTGCTGCTGTTGCTGCTGCTGCTGCTGCTGCTCCTGTTGCTCTTCCTCCTGCTGCTCCCGTTGTTGATGATGCTGCTGCGGCCGCTGGGTTGAATGCGGCTGACACTTTTTCTGCTGCTGCTGCTGCTGCTGCTGCTGCTGCTGCTGGACTTGCTTATGGAGTGTCTGTATGGCAGCAATTCCTCCAAATTTACGGACGAGTCTTTTGATGATTTGTTCTTCATCTCCTCTCTGCACAAAAAGATATTATGCAGCAAATTTTTCTTAAGAAAAAAAAAAGAGAAGAAATAAATAGTACAATAAGTAGTATAATATACGAATAGTATTATATAATAGTATAAAATATAATTAAATAGAATAATATACAAGAAAAAAAAAGAAAAAATATTTAATTAAATTAATTAATTAATTAATGGTCCCAACCGGTCTCGAACCGGCGACCTTTCGGTTATTAGCCGAATGCTCTAACCAACTGAGCTATAGGACCGTCTTCCTCCGTCAATTTTCTTAAGGGCATGCATTTTCTTGCATGCATGCATTTGCATGCATGCATGCATGGATGCATACAATCAAAGGAGGTAATAGGGAAAAGAAGCACAGAGAATCCTTGTTGTATCGGCAGCAGCAGCAGCAGCAGTAGCAGTAGCAGCAAAGCTTACCCATATGCGCATGCGTCCTTCTCTTTGATCATTCATTAAGGCCATCAATTCCTTACTCCATTCCTCAACAGTTTCTGCCTTCATCTATATAAGAGAAAAGACACAAATAATAAATAAAGAAATAAACAATAAAGACATAAATAAGCAGCAAAAAACACTGCATGCAACTTCCCAATAAGCATCAGCAGTAGATATTCTATTAGGCTGCATGTCCTCTCTTCTGCTGCAGGGGCATCTATAAGCAACTAATAGTGAGGTCTAGCTAAACCCTAGGGGCCCCTAAGTAGGGGCCCCCCACGCCCACCCCATCCCCGCCTCCTCCTCTAACGCCAGACTAAATATTATAAGATATTTCTTACCAGCCGTGCCTTTGCATTTGCTGCTGCAGCTGTGTTAGCAGCAGTGTGTGTTGTGCTGTGCGGTGGTGCTGCAGCTGTACTAGGAAGCTGCAGCACAAGGAAAAAAACAAAGAAAGAAATAGAGAAAGGCATGCATGCATGCATCCGTCATAAGATATTCAATAGCGAATAAGAGGCAAAGCATATGAATATCCTTGTTGCTGTTGCTGTTGCTGTTGCTGCTGCACTTGGTTTTGCTGCTGCTGCTGCTGCTGAAGCTGCCACCTATGACAGAAGAAATCGAATGGGCCCCCAGAGATCATATCTAGGGGCCCCTGTGCCCCTTGATGTCTCTATTGCCTGTACCTACTTGGTCTGTTGTCTCCTTATAAAGGAGACAGGAGGGAGTTGGCTCTCTTGTCCTTAGATAGCGCTCTAGTTGCTGTGCTGCTCGTAGTCTCCCCTTAGCTAGCCCTAGCAGGTGTCTCCTTAGCTTAACGGGGCCACCACGAGGAGACAGAGGGGAGATTAAGGGGGCAGCAGCAGAATAAGGAGACACATAATTAACAGAAGAAGAAGAAGGAGGAGGAGGAGGAGGAGCAACAGAGAAGGAGACACTTGATGCCCATGGAGGAGACACCCCCATTAGTCTTGCGCCCTCTAACGCTCGTAGTGCTAAATCTAACAGTCCTGCAGGCAGCTCAGGAAGCAGCAGCTCCTCCTGTACCTGCTGCTGTTGCTGCTGCTGCTGTTGCTGCTGTTGCTGTTGCTGCTGTTGCTGTTGCTGTTGCTGCTTCTGCTGCAGTGTGTGCAAGTCATGATGCAGCCGCTGCCTCATGCTAAGTAATTCATCTAAGAGACAGAGGGCCCCCCTAAATTCGTGCTGCAGCAGCAAGACACGCATGCCCTCTCCGTGTACCCAAGGGGTATATTGCTGCAGTATCTGATCACGAATATGTAGAATATCTGGTTCCTGTTGCTGCTGCTGTTGCTGCTGCTGTTGTTGTTGTTGCTGCTGCTGCTGCACGCGGGCCATGTAGAGCGCTTTGGCACGGAGAGGGCCCCTAAGAAGAGAGTCTGTGTACTCATTGGCGAGGGACACGGCTGCTGCTGCTGCATCTTGGGCAGACTGCAGCAAGACAGGCTTGTCTTCATTAGCTAGAGGGCTCTTTGTCTCACTGGTTGCTGCTGCTGCTGCTCCTCCTGTCGCTGCTGTTGCTGTTCCCCCAGAAGAAGGAGCAGCAGCAACAGCTGCTGTGAATGCGGAAAGGAGGCGGGCCGTCAATAGAAAGGTTGTATAGCTGGGGAAGGGGCCTTGTGAATGCAGCTGCCTGTACACCCCAAATGCTGCTGAGGCAATCCGCTGCGCTGCCGGGACATCAGCAGCGGCAGCAGGAGCAGCAGAGGCCGCAGAGGAGACAGAGGGAGGAGACGGGGCAGCAGCAGCGGCAGAAGCAGCAAGGGAGGAAGAAGCAATTAAAGAAGAGGGAGAGAGAGAGGAGACAGCAGCAACAGAAGCCTTTATTACTGCATCGCATGTCTTTACCCATCTGCTGCCGTTATACTGCTGCTGCAGCGCAGCAGCCCTGAATACAGCAGCAAATGCATGCAGACACAAACAAGATATTATATATCTATATATATATATTATATGTTATTATCTCCTTAGGGGACACCTGGCAGAGTGCAACAGAACTCCTATTCAAAGATCAAGGGGAGACAGAGGAGACAGAGAGAGAAAGGGAGACAGAGGAGACAGAGACACGGACTGTCTCCTCGTCTGTCTGTGCCTCCTCTGTCTCCCTTTTCCTAGGAAGATTCCTTTGAGGCACAGAGTGCAGCAGGAAGCAGGAAGCAGCGATAGCAGCAACAGCAGCAGCAACAGCAACAACTCACTCAAATGCTGCCTCTGGATTTGCTGCTACTGCTGCAGCTGCTGCTGCTGCAAAGAAGCACTCCATGCTAGGCCTAGCAGCAAATGCAGCCTTAATAGAATTAGATAATGAATATTTTTCTGTGTCTTGGTGGCTGTCTTTATTGGTGTCTTTTTCTTTATTATATCCTTGTCCCTTTGCTGCATTATCCAGTGCTGCATCTGCTGCTGCAGCAAGATCCACATGCGTCTTCAGCAGCAGCAGTGCTGCTGCTGCATCACCCTTTTGCTGCTGCCGCCGCAGCATCCATAGCAGCTGCTGCTGTCTCTCTACAACTACCTGTGTGTCCTGATTGCTCGTCTCCATGCTCTTCTGTCGTTCCTTCTGCTGCTGCTGCTGCTTCTTCTGCTGCTGCTGCATTGCTATTGCTGTTCCTGTTACAGCTGCTGCTACTCTCGATACTTGTGCTCTGTGCTGCGAGGAGGCAAGGATAGGAGGGCTTGCAGTAGCAGCAGCAGCAGCAGGGACTGTCTCCTCAATAGATACACCTAAAAGAGACGCTGCATGCAACACATCTCCTACACTAATTGCTGCCTCATAGGGCAACTTGCCTGCTGACGTTGACGCCAGAGACTGCAGCCAACGCGTTAGCCGCAGCAAACGTGCTGCTTCTGCTGCTGTTGTTGCTGTTGTTGTTGTTGCTGCTGCTTGAGCTCCTGTTGATCCTGCGGTTGCTGCTGCTTCTGTTGCTGCTGCTTCTGTTGCTGTTTCTGCCGTTGTTTCTCCAGCCGTTTCAGCGGTGGGTGCATCTGGGGCGCCTGTTGGTGATGCTGCTGCTGCTGCTGCTGCTGCTGTTCTCAACAGTGGTTGTGCAGCAGCCCCAAGCCCTCTAAACGCAGCGGCAAGGAGACGGGTCTCTAAGCTTCCTTGCCTGTCTGCTGCTGCGTCTCCCCTCGGTGTCTGTGTTGTTATCTTTTCTTCCTGTTTATCTTCCTCTTCTTGCTCTTTCCCCCCCTCTGTCCCCGTGTCTGCTGCTGCTGCAGCACCACCAGCAGCAAGAGCAAGAGACAGCAGCTCCTGTCCTTGCTGCTGTTGCACAGGCCCCCGTGCAAAGAGGGCCTCCACAGAGGCAACAAAGAGCTGCTGCTGCTGTGGCGACAGATCCAGTGGAGGCGCACGCTCAGATAGAAGACGCTTCAGGTGTACGTACACCCGGTCTAGTAGGTTGTATGCAGCAGCAGATACAACAGCACCACCCTCAGCCAGCAATGCCCATCTAACCGCAGCATGTTGACTCTGCAGCACTGCTGCTGCTGCTGTCTCTTCTGCACCCTCTCCCTGCAGCAGCGCCTCCCCTGCAATTGCCGCAGAAGCAACAACTTGCTGCGCAGCAACCTCATTAGAGGGGCCCCCAGAGGGGCCCCCAGCAGCCAACAGGCGTCGCGACAGCTCTAGAGAGACAGGCAGCACAGCTCGGGCAAAACGAATGGAGACGGAGACAGGCAGCAGCTGCATGGCAGCGCAGGCCCTTTCTAGCTGTACGCAAACGCAAACAGCAGCAGCAACAGCAGCAACAATGATGGTGCGGTAGGTTGCATGCGCCAGCAAGTGAAGTGCCGCATGCAGCAACACATGCAGCAACTGCAGCTTGTGCCAGCTTTCATATGCAGCGTTGCCCGGCAGGAAGCAAGCAGCTACCTACAGCAGCAACAGCAGCAAATATTGTGCAACAGCAGCAGCTGCTGCAGCAAACTCACCTCTCCATCCTTCATTGCTGCTGTAGCCACAGCAAGTGCAGCAGCCACTGCCTCTCGCTGCAGGCCCTCTTCGAGGGCCTCACTGCCGCCTAGTGGGGCCCCCTTAGCAGGAAGCGTCTCGCTGACGGTACCAGCTGCAGCAGTAGGGGGCCACCTTTCTTGGGGGCCCCTGAAACCCTTGAGGAGCTGCTGGTGTGCTTGGCTGCTGTGGCCTTCATTAGCAAAGGCGCGGGCCAACAGTAGATGTGTTGCTGCGCCAAGGTTAGGGGTGCAAGCCCCTGCTGCTCTTGCTGTTGCTTCTGCTGCTGCTGCTGTTTCTGCAGGTACAGTATCGTCCTTGCTGGTGTCTGTCTCTGCAGGAGACTGCGGTGAAGGGCAAGCGAGGGACTCTTCAGGTGTACGTACACCCGAGGAACCACCCATCAAGGAGGATGCCACATGCAGCACCACTCTAGTAGACACTCCCTGCTGCAGCAGTGCCGCAGCAGCTGCTGCTACCTCTGCAGTAGACACGCCATGGATGCTCTGGATGGCAGCAATATCCCATGGCACCTGCTGCTGATGTTGCTGCTGCTGCTGCTGCTGTGCTTCGTCTGTCTTGGATTTCATGGAGATGACCCTAGCAGCAAGATTAGAGAGACACTGACGCCGCTGCTGCTGCAGCAGCACAAGATCGTCAGCTAGCATGCGTGCAGATGTCGTGTCACCTGCTTTACGCTGCAGCAGCAACTGCAGCAGCTTCTTCTGTTGCTGCTGCTGCCGCTGCAGCTGCTGCAGCGCCTCGACATAAGCGCTGGCTATATGCCACTCGCTCTGAAGCAGCAGCAGCTCTTTGCTGCTAGGGCTGGGCCTCTCACTATACGGACGTTCTACAGGGGCCTCCCCCTTTAGGGGGCCCCCTTGGGGGCCCCCTATGCTTTGGGTACTGCGATTATCTGCAGGAATCCCCTGGTGAAAGACAGCCGTAGAGCGCAGCAGAATTGAATGAGAAGATGAGAGGAGAGCAGCAGGGATAGAGCGCCACTGCAGCATCTGCAGCAGCAAAGTTGTGAGGGTCTGCAGTGCTGCTGTAGCCTGCTGCACTGCATCAGCTCCGTATACACCCGAAGGTGTCTGCGGAGATCCGTCTGCTGCTGAAGGCTCCAAGGACTCCAGTTGAGATTCAATCTTCGATAAGACTGCTGCTGCTGCTGCTGCTGCTGCACCTCCATCTGTATCTGCGCCTGGGTCTGCGTCTGCATCGGGTATGGATGATGCTGCACCGCCCCCCGCAGCAGCAGCAGCTGCTGCTGCTGCTGCTGCTTTTGCTGCTGCAGCTAAATGGCCTCGAGCTACGCTCGTTCTATCAGCAGCGGGGGCCAAGCAACAAGACGAGGAAGAGAGAAACCCGCAAATATTCAAGGGACTTTCAATCCTCTTGGAAGGGAGGGATCCAAATGATCCTGCAGACAGCAATGATGCTAGGCTGCTGCTGCTGCTGCAATTGCTGTAGCTGCTGCTGGTACTGGTGTTGCCGTTGCACCTTGAAATGAGAGGAGCAGATGTGCCAGGATTGAACGAAGGGCCCCCAAGAAAAGAAAAGCAGCAACGTGCTGCTGGCGACCCCTCGCCTGCGAGCTGCTGCTGTCTAAATACCGTCTGCAAACGCTGTGGAAATCCGGAACCAACACCAGCAGCAGCACCACCTGCTGCTGCTGGTGCTGCTGCTGTTGCTGAGGCTGCCTCCCACGTGTTCATCCATAGCGCAACTACAAGCACAAATAACGGGAGATAGAAACGGAGGCCCTTTTGAAGCCTGCAGGGCCTCCCACTAGGGGCCCCCAAGGGGGCCCCCCAACGGGCTAACTCAGGGGCTCCCCATGTGATGTTCGAAGGTGGAGCTGGCCAAAGAGAAGCTGGTGAGGGGTCGCGCATAGAAAAGGAAGTGCTCTTATTAGGGTGGTCAGGAGGGTGTCTAAGAAGGCCCCCAATGGGATAGTCCTGCTGGGGCCCCCTACCGGGGGGGCCCCCAGAGCTTGCGTCTATGCAGGGATTAGGAAGGGGCCAGATGATGGTTGACGCAGTGGAATCGCTCTCTTGTCTGGTTCTGAATGGAGAGAAGAGGTGCTTCATGCTGTTGCTGCTGCTTCATGCTGCTACTGCTGCAGCCTAAAGAACAGACATCGTTGGTGTGGGCCCCCAGGGAAGCAGATGAGGGGTTAGGCCTGGTAACACCCGTGTTTTTGGACTCATTTTAGAAGCATAAAGGCAAATAAGAAGTAGAGAAGAAAGCTAGAGATCGGCAACAATGAAAAGAACAAGACGGTGACTTGCAGCAGCAGACGGGCGGGGGTCGGCAGCTCCCTCTGAACGCTGCTGCCGTCTACGTGAGCGGATTGTTGTCCAGGTAGATAAGTAATAAAATTCAACTAAAAACAGCAAACAAATAGTTAACCCCACAGATATTTGGTCTCGAATTTACGTATGAAAATAATTATAAATGTTTATATTCGCACAGGGCTCCAGAGTAGTTCAATATGGTTACAGGCACGACGACGCGAGCTACTGCTGGCTGTTCAGCAGGAACTCTTTGCCGACGAACGTAGTAAACACAGTATGATATTTTGTGCTTATTGTCTTTGTTACAGAAAAAAAACCATTTTTCATTGCCTTTTTGCCTTTTCAAAAGCGTCTTATCTGTCGTATTCTTTCTCTTCTCTTTCTTCAGATGCAGCTGCTTCCCTTGGTCCGTGTTGGTAGTCCGCCGGCTAGCATCGATTCTCCCAATGCATGCGTCGGGCCTCGTTGTTATTGACTCAGAAAGATAACTCAATTTTACCTAGACTAACTGTGACCTAGTGACAGACTTTTAGTGGTTTTCTCAGAAGGGTTTTGTTTTTCTCCTCCTCGTTCGAGCGAGCCGCTGCTCTCAACTCACACACTGTTATGGGAGTGGCTGCTGCCTGCATGCTACCCTTATTTTCCTCTAAGTTTCATACTGTAAATCCAAATATTATTTTTGGCTTTAGTTCCCTTGAAAAATAGGGAAGACAAGTTTTAGTTAGACCATGTGCTGCTGCTGAAACCCCCTCTTGCGAGCTCAGCTGCTGCTGCGATCGTTGTGGGTTCTTCTTCCCTTCTTACGCGTCAACAAATATATATTCAGACATCTAATATATGCTCAATGACCCTTTTGTTTTCTTCCCCTTTAATATTGGCGACCGTCAGACAACAACTAGCAAACCACTATATCCTCCCAGCGTGTCGCCGACTTCCTGCCTTCACGCCTCCTCCAACTCAGCAGCAGCAGCAGCAGCAGGACCAACGGCAGCAGCACTGAAAAGGAAAAGAATACTCACAGGAGCCGCAGTGTTTCGGTCTTGTCTCAATTACGTCCCAAACAAACTGCCCTGCTCATGGATGCCGAGGCAACAAAAATTCGCACCGCGAGGAACCCGACCTTCTCCTCTTCCTCTTCCTCTTCCTTCTTTGAAATCCTCCTGTATTTTCTGAATGCTGCTGTGAATACGCCGCAGACATCTAGCCAATGCCGTTGTTCAACGCCCCACGCGAAGGCCGAAGGGCCTCCAACAGTGGTACAGCAGGCAGTAGCAGCCTCAACCCCAGCATGAAGCAGACGCAGCAGAGAACTTCCAGTAGAGGCGGGGCACCAGCAAACAAAGGCAGCAAGGCTCCGCGGAGTTTGTTGACAGTTGAGGCAGCCCAGAAGATGGGCCGCTGGGGAGACAGGAGGAGGGACAGCACAACTAAAGCAGCTTCACCACAAGCAACCCTGGACGTTGTACGGGGCAAAAGTGTCTCTGGAGTTGTTGAAAAAGCCAGGAGCACTTCATCTGTAGCAACGACGAAGGTTGCAGCAAAGGCACAAGAAAAGGAAGCAGCGACACAGAGAAAGCCATCTAGTGACCGCAAACAGCAGGAGGCTCCTCGTGCTGCTGCTGAGCCCTCTTCCAAGTCGTCTTCGCTTAGAGCTGCAGAACAACATGAAGTTCATCCCAAATCTGGGCCACAAAACGGGAAAGTAGCGCACGACAATGGCGGCCAATTGAAGAGCAAGACAGCCGTCTCGGCCTCCTCAGGAGCCCGAGAAGCTGCTCTTCAAAAGCTGGCAAAAGTAGAAAGAGCAGCAAAAAGAGAAGAAAGAGAAAAGCGGGTGAAGGAAGTGGTGGAGGAAAGGGACCCCCTCAAGGCAACAGACATGCAGCCGCTGCTACTAGGTGATAGAAGAATATCTGAGGCACATCCAGATGAGGAAACAGTGCAAAAACTCTGGAAAGTCGCTCCTGTACTTAAGAAAAAAGATTACTTGCTGAAGTACACCCCGGAAAAGAGCAGGAAATGGTCGCCCCCAAAAGTTTCTATTCCAGAAGGCCAAAGCAAAGCTTTTAAAGAGAAAAATATGGATTTTTTATGTAAGAAAAAGTAAATGACTATAGTTTATGTTATATTGTACTAGATCCAATATTGCAGTGTATATTATAATGCTTCTTATTACGTTGTTCGGTGGCGTATCAACGTTTTAGTTTGTTTTGCCAGTCTAAATAATAGTAAGTTGCTAGGTTTACTACTATTGGGACAAAATAAAAACTATGGCTTTTATAGCTTGGCAATCGTATGTAAGAAGTATTCTTATTGAGACGCTACGCTAAAAATAAGATGTAATTCGGATTATTCTTGTTTTACTATTGTTCTCAATTTACAGATGCATGCGTGGCAGACAACTGTTGTAGTTACTATTATTATTACTGTTACTATTGCTGTTGCTACAAGTAGAAGGCAAGGCAACAGCAAAAGTCAGAGTACAATAAAAATGAGGCATTTTACATACAAGCAAAATGCAAAATACGACAAGTAGACACAAAATACAGTCAATAGACACAATCCAACACATCCCACAATTCTTGAGAAATGTGCTGCTTCTGCTTGCCTTCGGTTTGCAGGCGATAAGTGGATTGAGCCTTATCCCAAATATTCAGTGCGTTATTGTCTCGACCGGCGAAACCTTTTTTCGGTCTATTTCCACTGTTGTGTCTCACATATTTGCCTTATTTGTCGCTCTATCATGCACCTCCCTGTCTACAGCACTGCAGTAAATGTAGTGGCGCAGCATGTTTATACCATTTCAGAATATTGTCTCTTCTTGTTCTTCCAGTTTATCTAAACCATATTTAGCTCCATTTCTTTCTGCCTCCTCGACTGTTGATGCATGCTGTCTTTCTTATCTGCAGTGATAAAAGGCCGCTCCTGTCTATCTAAACACATTATCAATGATAGCTGTGGTAATAGAAGCAGTAATAGATGAATTGTTGAAATTATGTGCTGCTTCCAGGGTTCTGCGGTCCCCCCAAAAGCACCTGCTGCTGCTCCTGCAGTGGGCGCTGCAGAAGACGCAGCAGAAGCGGAGCTGCCTCCGTCGGATTCTGATGGGGTTGAACTACCTGATCAAATGAGGCTGAATCGACTCAGTTCGAAAGAAGCAATGGACACGACTCTGTTGGAAACGGCTTTCCGCGACTCCTGGAGCCATAGACAGGCTCTGCATTCTCCAGTGAAAGAAACAGAAGCCTTTAAGAAAGAGTCTGGAATAGACCAAATTGCAGACAAACTCATCAGAAGCAGACAATCACCCCCCAAAGGCCTTCTTCGATTCGAGTAACCTGCAGCACAAATAGCGCATTCACTGTTCCCGTTGAAATCCAGTTGTCTTATTGGGATGTTTTTCGTACACTAAACAAATATCTATCATGCAAACAAAGAGCTGTGCTCATTCTCGACTCCTTGATGCAGTTGGTATCCGTTGGAATACCGAGCAACACAGGACAAAACTATCGGTGCTGGTGCACTCAGGTTCAGGCAAATGTGTATGTTTTATATAGCATATAGCATAGCTATAGCATGTATTCTCGACCCCCTAAATGACGCTTTGGCTATTCGATTTGCTTACCACAAACAAGCTGGACGTGTTCGAATTTGCCGCTGAAAAGGCAGGAATGTTATATATTTACAGAATTTGGACATACGAGCATGCATTGTCCAATTTGCACACCCTCTCCTTTTTCTGCTGTGCCTGGAAAGAAGGAGTTTTCGTCCCTGCAACTGATGCCCCCGGTAGCTGTTCATGCTGAAAGTACAACAATTCCTCTTCTTGAGAGACTACCTTGAGATAAATATCGGGTTTGTTGTGTCTTCGTCATATTACTTGCCCTTCATGTTTGCATGCATATACACATATTTGCAATACCTGTGCAAAAGTGCATGCGCATTTATTTGCTGCTTTTAATGCGCCACTGCAGAACCCTAGACGACGTAGGATTTGTAGACCCATACGCATCCTCTGGAGGCCCTGAAGACCCTCTGCCGTACCGAATCGAGAAGAAAAACGAACAGGCAGAACTCCTTGCTCTGCACCATATCACTAAGGCAGCAGAAGCTGTAAGACAAACTCACATGCTGTATTTAAGCGCTTAAGTTGTTTCAATCCATTTGGACTTGCATTCAAATCCCTTGTAACAAATACGTGTAACTATAAACAAAGGACAAAGTTATGCAATTGCTCTGTTTCTAAAGTGCTCCACTTTGTTCTGTAAACAACCGCTGTGCCTGCAGATGAAGCAGCGTCTTCTTGACAGGCTTCCATTTGCAGACATTTCTTGGTCTCGACAACCTTCTTTTGATGAGGGAAACGTTAATGAAATATTCCATTTAAAGGAAATCAAGGACGCAAGTGGAGTTTTCGACGTAACAGAGTCTTCGCTGAACGCCCACGAACGCGTCCGAGTAGGTGTCCTTCTTCTGTGTGCTTTTATTTTCTTGTTTGCTCGTGTGACTGTTCTTCTGTTTCTGCCTGTGCTGTTCGTTTTGTTCTTGTTCTTGTTCTTCTTCTCCTCCATCATCCCCATATCTTCGTCAATGCAGAAGATCCAAGCGTGACAGCAGCACTCCGATGCTTGCAGGCGCAAAGGAGGGACCGTATCTTCTTATCTTCACACGGGCAAACGGAAGTGTTTGAGTCTTATATTATTAAGGCGTATCAGTTATGACGTTTAAAAGACTTGTTGTGTTTTCGTTTGTATGCAGCTCGCGGCTGGGAGGATTTCGCAATGCGTGCAATCCGACGACACGAGCAAGAGAGAAGTTAACAGAATGAGTAGGCTTCTGTATTCCCCGTTGCAGCAGCTCAGCTGTGCTTTGAATTGTTTCGTGTTCCTGGCTTTTGAGCCCCTGCATTCGTTTAATTTTCTTATTGCCTTGGAACCGGCTCACAACCTGTCAATGGCACGGAGAAGTTTCGCATGTGCTGCATGCAATTATTACTGAGTCGTGCTTCCCTGTTGTTGGTAGCTTGTGTTGGGACGCTACTGTCGTTTCGTCGGCCACTTCGTTTCTTCTTAGCAAGTCATGGAGACCTGGGTTCTGTTGGTTTGTCGTTGCTCTTTTCAGCTCGAGACATCAAAGTGATGTACAAAGCGGAAAGAGGGGATGAGGCGGATGGCCCAAACGTCCGTCGTTCCAGCATTTGGGAATCTTTTACGGGTTTTCCTCAAGCCTCCAGCAGCCCTGGAAGGGAGCGTGGGGCAGCATCAGCAGGTGAAGAAGTAATTTATGCAGACCCTGAACGAGTCAAGAGGGTTTGGGCAGAGAGATACTCTACATGCTGCGACTTGCTAGAAGACGAAGACGAGCAGAGACTTCACCTTCTGCATCAAATCGTGCATGAAGTGTTTGAACAGTTCGGCGGCAAATGGAGCAGAAGGGTAACTATCGCATTTTTCCTCTTTTTTGCAATGCCTTCTAGGACAGTGCAGAAGGCAGAACTCCTGCGGTAGATCGTAGTCGAGAGGCGCTTGCGATAGGTTTAGGGGTCGCTTTATGGTTTGGGGCGGTGGAATTTGAATGTTTATTGCTGTGGTTGCAAGACCAAACAGGATAGACACCAATGTTTGGCGTGGAGCTTGGAGTTTAGCGATTCGGGTTTGTTGTTGGATGCGTTGATGGTGTTTTACACGCAGCTGCCGCGGACTTCGTTGTTGCTGAAGTTGCTGCGGAAGCCCGATGCGGCGGGCCTATCCCGAGCCGTGCCAAACCCGCAGGCACTTGTGAACAAGTTTATTATGCAGCCTTGTGAGGTGGTGGAATTGGCGCATTCTTTGTTTATTACCCTTGTGATGGAACGGTTTTACCTATTCGATATGCGATTTGCCGAAAGCCCCAGACTGCTCATAGAAGAAGCCACTGCAACATCAGAGTGGTGTTTGGCTACGCGTGCGCTGAGTCGGATGGGACGGATTTCAAATTATCTGCTGGCAGGTGAGCGCAGCTTCTGGCTCTTCCCCCCTTTCAGTGTATGATCTAACAACGCAAAACAAAAATACAGCTCAAGCACCGATAGCATTGCTACTGCTGTGGAGGTACTGCTCGTGAAATTATAATACCCATGAAAATCTGTAGAAAATAGTAGAAAATAGCATCTGCCGCTTCCTATAGTTTCCCCCAATAAATTGGTAGATGCTGCTATTAGTTTTACTTACAATGTACTGACTATATCATCATATTCATTGAAATTGGAAGAGAAGTTTCCACCTGAATAAATAATGTTGAAGTTCTCTAAGAGCTAAATACAAGTGCATCTAACTATGCTGTTGGGGATTTGTGCTGCAGTGGATTTGCAGCAGTTCACGGTACGAACATAAATATATCTTTGCGGTGCCTAGTTTTCTTTGTGTGTGATGTGATCAGTGATGCTTGAGTCGAGAGTTCCTGGGCTGCTTCGTCTGTTGTTTCGCCTGAACGGCCTTCAGTTCTTTGAGTACAGAATTAGTTATATGCTACACATGCTGTCGTGGAGGGGCCAAGACAACTACGAGCCGCAGCTGGAGTTCGAAAGAAACACCGAAAAACTGATCTCACAATGCCGCAGAATAGGCACTGCAGCCACAGCTCTCGCCTCTTCCGTAGGCACATCCGCAAAAGATGTTTCCTCCTCATCCCCTTTTTCATGCAATTTAGTCCCCAAACTCACTCCAAAAGACAGAGCCTTTCTGCTCCGCCGAGCCCAGCAACAGCTGCGGACTCTCTTAAGTAATGCGTCGTCCTGCATAGCAATGAAGTACAACGTTGAAGCCATCTGCAAATTGTTGCCATTCACAATTGAATACACCGCGAACATGGACAAGAAGGAAGACATCTGCTTCAGGCTGTTCGACTCCTTTCTCACGAAAGCATTCTTTTGCGTACTTGGAGATCAAAAGGTCCGAGACACAAACAGGGCCCTGCTGCGTTGCATATACACTGGTACCAAACAGCTAGCTTAGTCTCCTTGACATGAAAGTGAAGCACAGCGGAATAGTTCATTTCGTGATATGTCCCGGTGCCTTTGCAGGTCCCGACCACCCCCCAGGCCATCAGTCTTGTCACAAGTTATTTTGAGATGCTAGCAGAGGTGCTCTATGGACTGAGGTCCCCAGGTAAGAACAGCCCTTATGTCCCTCCAGGAAGGAATTTGTGGGTATATATACATACACATGTACACATACATGCATTCAGGCGTATATATGTGTATGTAATACACGTATATGTATGCCGACATCTAATGTATATATACGTGCACATATACATACATAAACCTACATATTATACAATTCGTGTGTGTGTGTGTATGTGTGTGTGTGTGTGTGTGTGTGTGTGTGTGTGTGTGTGTGTGTGCGTCTGTTGATTGCTGGTTTTCTCTCAGACTTGCTGCAGGTCATAAACAAAGAAGAAGAAGATATTAGTGTGGAGCTGAGTGTGTGGAGTAACTTGCGAAGGTGCCTGCACAGAGGTTTGAATTTATATTTGTGTCGAACAGTTTTATGTTTTATTGCGGACTTGATGTACTTGAGCTGTCTAGACAGAGCGCCATTGCTGCTTAGCGAAGCGCGGGAAATGCAAGCAGTTTTGGACAGAATTGTTATTCCTGCTTTAAGAGAAGAAAAAGTACAACTCCTGACGAATGTAACGCTCGACTTCTGCTGGAGAGCGGCAGTGTGCCTACGTGAAGTCTTCAAAAAAGTGAGAAAATAAATAGTCTGGCCCTAACCACCCACGAAAGAACCATGCAAAACAACAACAGCAAATACTGCAACTCTCAAAGGAGCAGCTCGTCACACAGCAACAGCAACCGCTACAAATGCACCCTGCAGCACAATAGCAGCAGCACACAGCACCAAGCAGCCCAATAACAACACCAATAGTAGTAATAATGACATATAACAACACAGGCACAATCAACGAGAAGAAACTACACAGCAAATGGGTTTACTCTTTAATGCATGCACATTTGCTGTCTTCTTGCACTGTCTACGTGCAATATGTGCGTCGGTTTGTTTTACTTATATCCTAGGCTTTTTGTTGTTTGCGTGACAGACAGCAGAAGAAACAGATATTGACCCCGACACACTGTTGCCTTTTACTTTGCCTCACCGCTGTGGCCTGCGAGCCGGGGGGCCCTGGCCTTCATTGTGGCAAAGCGCTTGGGAGCCTTCGTACATTCCCTGGACTTCAGACATTACATCTTCAGACGACTACAGAACGAAACACTCAACCCGCTCTCTCTCCTCACCGCGCGACGAAGCAGAAGCAGCAGTGGATGGTGCTCCCTCAATGAAACCAACAAAAACAACAACCAGCCCCCGACAAGCACCCCACAACAGCGGACTTAACAAGGAAACAGAAGAGAGAACAGCGGCTCATTCCGCTTGGAACTCAGCAGACACAGGACAGCGCCCGAAGAAAGTTTTGTTTGCCTCCGAGGAAGCCGCAGAAACCTTTGGAACCGGACGTTTCTGCAGGGCTGCGCAGGAATTAGATAAGATACACAAATTCCAGCTGCAGCAGCAGCAGGAGCAGGAGCAGCGACAGCAGCAACAGCAGCAAACGGAGACTGTGCCCTTGTACAAACAGTGGAAATGCCCTGTAATTCCCTGTTGGCTGCCTGGCTGTAAATCCATCATTTTCCAGGGACAGGAAACGGGGCCCGCTTTAGAAAACATGCACTATTGTCAAGAGTAAGTAGGGAGAACGTTCAGCGGTTTGCATGCATATATGCTATCTCCCCTCCAGGCTACAAGAGAAATGCATGTGTTTATACTGTTCGGTTGGGGAAACACAAGTACAGTACCCAAAGGAAATGGCGAACGCGCCTTCCCCACCGACATACTAGTGCATATTAGAGATGCACATTTATTCTTTTTATTATGTTTATTGGTATTGTATGGCTTCCGCGTGCTTCTGCCACCTTGTCATGCTGCAGGTGCCACATCGCCTCGTACTGCAGCGAAAGATGCCGGCAGGTGCACTTGAGACTTGGGCATTCGGAGGTAACTATCAGCGATGAAATATGATACGGTTTTGGCGTTATTGCACTCCTTGCAAAGTTCGCTTGTTTCAATCGACTTCGACGTTGATCATCTCGTTAACTTTGCCGTTATTTGCCAGCAAATGCGCTTCACGTTCGCCTCTAATGTGCCGAGGCATGTGTGTAATGTATATGGATTGTATTCTCGCCATGCACCAACAGTGGTTGGCTACCCTGCTGCACAACACGGGAGCGACAGCCCATAAACAGGCCGCCCATCAACTTTTAACCACTTGGACGATGTTCAGCTGATGTAGCTACCAAATTCCGCTCGGAACTGCTTTGCAAACTAAACTTTGGACAGATCGAAAGTTGCGGAGCTGTTAACTTGCAGTTCCCGTTGCACCAGCCTTGCCGCTGCATTTGCTTCTTCGCTCGGTTACCAATTATACTTATTTCTCTGTGAATCTGAGCGCTAGTCCTCTTTCCTTTGTGTTGTGTTTCATTTGTTTTATTTAGGTTTGCCCATATTTCAAGAGGCCGCCAACATTTCTCCGTTTTCACATGTTGAAAAACCAAATTCCGCGGCAAATGAAGTACCCGATACTAAATGTTTTCTACGGCCTGTGCGATATCAACTTTATGCTGAAAGTACATCGGGAGGACTTCCAACCAGTTTTCTAGCAGCCCTGTCTGCTGTGTTAACCCCAGCAATATGGCTGGTGATAACTGTTGTGTATGTGATCGTCCCCTGACAAGCCCACTATAGTTGTTCATAATATGCCTACATCAAGGGCAATACTCCGTCCTCAAACGGAATATATGTCCCTGCATAGACATTTTAATAGTAGATAAAAAGCAAATTTAATATACGTTGCACATAAGGCGACGAAAGTGAAATTTGCCCGCATCCGGACACTGTTCGGAGGCGGTTGCTGTTCATAGCAACACCGGAGTGTTGCTGGTATCTGTTTTTTCTGTGTGTACATTTCTTCCTCTGAGAAACCTAATGAGTTTCGTAAGTGTAGAAATCTACTGAAAGCGGTTGGAGAAGTTTTGAGAAAAGCACAATTTCAGCGAAGGAGCTACTGTACTTTTCCTTCGGCCGAATGGTGCTAGTTGGCTCATATGACAGCCATTGCGTGATCGTCGCAGGAGGCAACAAACACGACAGGGAGGACAGAAGGTGCAACTTTGGGTATATTATTTGGAATTTTACCAGCTGCCCGAGGCAGCAAACACGGGAGAAGGGAGGAGGCCTTTATGCATTGGTGATCATGTGTGTGTCAGCTTTTAAGCAGCCTTTACTTTGTTGCTGGTTTCTGTGTTGCTGGTGTCTGTCTTGGGTGTGACAGTGCTGGTGGGGGGTTGAGGGGCGGTTTTTGCCCCGTATGTCTTTTTACTAAAGTTACGGAAGAGGAGGAAGAGACTGAGGACGTAGAAGAAGTAGCCAATGGTCACGCGCAGCGGGTAGCGGCAGGTCTTGTAGTAATACACATGGTAACAAGCATGTGCAGTCATAGACAGGAACTGAGCCATTTGCAACTGCGTTACAAATATCTTGACCATTCGAGCCAGCGGGCTGTTCAGACTCGCCATAAAATAGTACGCGTACATTACCACGTGGACCAAGGCGCTGCGCAAAACGCAGAAGAGCACAAATACATTAATAATTAATAACTAATAGTTAACTAAGCTCAACTCCCGCAAACAAAGCAACCAACAGATAAGAACAATGACATTCGAAGTATTCATACACTGACACGCAACCAGCCACAACATAAATACAACAGACTCACGGGCAAAAACTACACAAAAGCAACTAAAACAGGAAAAACAGCGCTATAATAGCTCATACAGTATGATAAAGCAAAGTAAGAATTACGACGACAAATGCGACACAACGCCACCGGATATACAGGTAACCCCTATATAGGATAAACAGGCAGATACACACACACAGCATAAGCCAAAAGGACAGGAAGGCAATAAAATCAATTAACAACAACAACTAACGACATCAACTGAGGGACAAGAACAATGCAAATAGAACAAAAAGGAAAATGATGCTAACATTGATGAAACATACATGAAGCAAAGGTGTATACCAATATAACATAAACAAGCAAGATACTGGCAACAATAATTCAAAATAAACAAAGAGAAAGAAAGCAACAAAAGAAAATAGAACAAATATAAACGGAGTTCGTAGCAAGAAGCTGACAAAGCAAACATGGAGGTACGCAAGTGGTATATGCCGCTTACTTGAGTGCGACAACGTAGTATATCTCTCCATCGTAGCCAACACTGGCATTTACCCAGGAGATATAAATGACGGAAGAATGATGATAAACATGCAAGAAGGACACTTGACGCCAATTTCCCCGCACTATCATAAACACCGTGTCCAAAAGATCGACATACTTCAGCCTAAGAGCAGCAGCAGCAACAGCAACAAAGTCAGGAACAGCAGCAAAGTCACGAACAGCAGCAAATACAGCCGATGCAGCAGACAAACGCCCAGCAGCAGCAGATGTAACACCCAGAGCCCTAAAAGCAGCAAAAGCAGCAAAAGAAAGCAGCATATCTATCTTGTAGTATCTTATTACAGACTTACATGTAAAAGAACCAGGTGACCTCCGCCATACGCGTGTTAGGCACGTTAAATCGGTTGCACATGAAGGAATATTCTTCTGCCCTCCATACATCAAAAACGCGGACAACAAGAAATCCACAAAGAACCACCTGGTGTACATACACCGCAGCACAGGGAAAGGAATATCGTATGAAGTACCTCCGCAATATGACGTTAAATGCTGCTGGTGCAAAGGGATGATATAAACACAGAGACACACGAATAGGAAGACAAACCTGTGCTATGTTGTATATGGCTTGAAAGAAAAAGACAGGCCCGATTTTCTCTAGCAGAGGCTTTTCCCTCTTTTGCACGGCGGCCTGTGGGGCCGCGCCGCGGCCTACGAGAAGACTAAAAGCTACAAGGAGAAGATAAAGGGAGATGACGATAAACACATCTTTCCCGTCCATAAGAGGCAAGCCATTATTCTGACGGCTGCTGGGGGGGAGGTCGGGGGCGTAGAAAGATAGAATGTTCTCTGCTACAGTGTCTACCTGGCGAAATAGATGGGTAACTGTGGGATGAGAATGAATAATGGAGTTCTTCAAAGGCGACAAAACCGCGCGCGCTGATTCCATCCAAGGCGCGTCATGGGCGAGGTATCTCGCCCAGGTGTCTGTGAGAGCCATTGTTGCTGCAGCGGACACCGTATGCTAAACTCCAGGTGTCTCTCCACCTTAAATAGAAATCTGTAGAAAACGAAATGTCTGGCGTTCCTTCAGGAACAAGGAGGGAGAGGCTATTGAGTGGCCACGGGTGCCCGACAAGAAACCGTGCTATGCCGGTTGGAGGAGGTTGCAGCATGCGAGTTGAAGGTTGGACAGAATATGAAGGCAGTCAACTAAAAAAACACAACAAAACAGAAAAAGGCACCGCTCGAGAAGCAAGCAGGCCAGCAGTTTCTTAGTTCCCGCTCCTTATAATGCTACGCCTACCAATTTGTAGGTCGTCCTGCGCATCTAAAAAAAGGGTACACCATACGCTCCGGGCCCGAGATGACGCAACGCCATTAATAAATACAAACACGCCGAGGAAACGACGAAGATCACCCATACAAATACCAACGGACTCACACACTAGCTCAAGTCCGAATTCATACAAAATGCATCGCACCACGTTCGCGTCGGCTGTAGATACACCACACCCACCTTGTCAGCACCGAATCAACAACAACCTTCGTGTTTGTCTTTTCATGTAGATAAAAATCTTGTTCTATTTGCTTATTGTTACACGAGATCATCTGCCACCCTTTTTTTAGAGCTGTCCGCAGCAAAACCGTCGAACCCTGCTCCCCCATAACCACCAACGCCGGGCATTCGGATGCCTCGAATGGTACAGCTCAAATGCTCATATCTCTTCTTTTTAAATAATCACTTCAAAAAGACACTGCCAAAAATTATTCTGCTTCGCTTGATCTTAGGAACGAGAGCAGCAAATGCCCCCCACCTTAGCGTACACTGCCACGAACCTTCGCATCTTTCGTAGCCGTTCCACGTTGAAATATCCTGTGCCAAGCTATTTCTGTCACGAATAAACACACAGATGACTCATTAATCAAGATTTTCATAACAGCATTGCAAGTACCGACCTGCCTAGTGCCCTCAACCCACCCCCTGTGACCCCCCCGTTGCCCCCCAACCCAAGCACGTGCACCATGTTGCGGTGTCTTGTAAAGAAAACAAGAAGATCACCCCTTCAATATGATCATATAGTAACCTATTACTCATTAAACACCTCCCAGGCCCCTCTATGCATCCACCTGCCACACAAAAATTGAATAACCTTTTAGTAGAAACCTCCAGCAGTTGGCAGCGCTTGCAACTAACACTATACCTAGGCATGCAAGCCTACTATGCTGCGGACACTCCTCCCACATAAGCTGACTGAATATTGCCACTGAATAATCAGCAGATGGTGATCATGAATCGTGCTAATAGGTATCTTTGTGTTGCCCCTAGGGGTACATAAGCAGATGTTTACATGTATCTATGAGTCACCAAATACAATAGATGAAGGCGTATGTCTGATGTTGTTAGTTGCTGCCGTCAAATGCCTGTATGGACAGCATATGCCATATGTTTTTGATTGCATTCATGCATATAACCAAGGCGCCCCTGGCGTCATCTATATATTCATTAAAAAAAATGTTGGGCTTTAAAGAAGAAACTAACAGATTTAGAGGGGACCCTACAGTGCGCATTTTGGTCTACATACACCCCACTGCCGAGTCCTCCTCCTGAAGCCCCTACAGAAAGTAAGTCACACATATGCAACAACGCCTGTGTCGCGGAGAGCAGCGGCCTAGTGCTGCTGCTGTTGATGCTGCAGCATTGCTGCTGCTGCGTCGGGGTCCCCCGGGAAGCAACTAGGGCCTCCTCCTGGAGCTCCAACCCCTTAGCCCGGGGATGCTTTCTCCTCTCGATGCATGCATGCATGCATGCATGTTGCATGCACGCATGCAAGAACCTTGAAGGCAGGTGTACGGATGCTATATGTACGGATGCACAGACAGAGGAATAATGATGGGAGATTCTTTAGCGTTTGTCTGCCTCTTCTGCGCACTTTAAGATGGCATCGACAGCTCTTTGTTTTTCTCGCCGCTGATCGGCAGATACTGCCCTCTCATAGAATGCATCTTGTACCTGCTTATCATAGTCTTCGAAGGTTTCTGTACCCGCAGGGGAGAAGGCAAAACGCCATCTAACACTAAGGGGTACAGTCAGGTGTACATCCGGGTCCCCTACGTACTGGCGCATGTAGATGTGGGGAGAGTTGTAAAAGATAAACGGCTCCGTAGTCACAGGGGAGGTGAAGCCCAAGAAACGGCGAATCTGCACAACACATATGCAGCAATAAAGTGCGTGCACCAAGAAATGCAAAAAGGAGAACACAACACAGCCACACTCCGCCTCCGTCGCCTTTTCTTACTGCTCGTCCTGTTTGCTGTGGTAATATCTGTACTTGTTTATGTATGATTTCCCGATTAATGCTCATTGCTGCCCTGCCTCTACGTCTGTCACTCCCATGCATCTATCTGTTGGTTGGATTATCTCCGATAGGTGCGAGGCTCTACCTGGTCGTCTATAATCTTCCACGTAAACTTTTGCGTAAAAGAAGCCCAGAAGGGCAGCCACGTCCTGTGGCCTGTCTCCCAGTAAATGGCACTCTGCTGCAAACCGTTCTCCATAGTAACAGCACGCAAAGAATCCTTAGATAATTCCGCATAGTTCAAGGGCCGTCGGGGCCCCTCCTTGGCTTCCGCCGCAGGGGCTCCCGTGCCCTGTGCGGCCATTTTTAAGATCTGTATGCTGCAGCACAATGCTGCGCAGCGAACGTAACGCCTGAACGCAGCCATGGAATCAGAAAAAAGCGCATTACGGAACAGCAGACAGCCAACAACTGCCCTTGCCCGCCCGGCAGACCTAGCATGTAGGGATTCGCGATCGTAGGCCACAGACTGGCAGAATTAAAAAAAGACATATTTAGGCAACCGTAGCAAACTAGAGAAAGACGGCACCCGAAGCCAACTGCCAGTGTGCAGCTGATATGCTGAACGGGTTGTGTAGAGTACAGGGGATATGGGTGATGATTCTGGCACCTCAAAATGCATGAAGATGGTGAAAATAGAGGAAGATATCTCAAAAGCAGAGCATAGATGACTATTCAAAGAAACTACAACCCAGGCTAGCGAAATCGGGTTAGGTGGTTGTCTTGCTACTTACCCCTATGACCAACACCGTAGGGTTCCTGGAATGAAGCGACAGCCCTCAAAACATACAAAAGAGAACACATGGAGACACAACTATACTTAGTTGTTCGTGTCTACAGAAGGCGGCTTCATAAGGCACTTGAACAACACTTTGGGGCTGCATGCGGCGAAGTGTGTACAGGCAGCCAGGACACCTAAAACTCAAAAATATGATAATGTTAAGTTGTCTTACCTCTTTAAAAACATGTCATTTAGATGCTTTCACTATAATTATTTGTTTATCTACAGTTTCCATCTACTGCTGCACGTTGAAACTGGGACATGGAATTCTGTTACGCAGTCACCGCACCGGGATTAGCATCATTGGCGGCAAGCAACAGCTATATTTACATAAATATGTGTTACTATAATATAGCTGTCCCAGGTCGAACATAGGCTCACACAGAATCAGAGCTGGTTGTACGCTTGTAGAATAATGTGCACACTGTTGGCACCTGTGTGCGATGTTTGCAAGTCCGTTGGAAACTGGCACCGTTCAATAACTGTCCCCAGTTCCTTCATGCGGCGCAGATATACAGCATAACTTGCCGTACGGTGGGGTGCAAATGATGATGAGGTGTCTCGTCTTCCGCAGCTCCAGGCGCTTGGGGCGCAGCGACTAGCATGCCTCGATTGAGGAGGGGAGCTAGCGGCTCTTACAAACCTATAAGTATTTTGGGTCAATTAAAGATAGGGACAGTCCTTGAATAAGATCGACGACTTGCTTTACCCTAGATGGAGACTAGGCACACCAGCTACCGCTGTGCTGTTAAGCGGGGGGGCAGGCTTCAGCCGCAAACCCAACCCCTGCAGTGATGCAACCATTTGCAGAGTACCAATTGGTAGCAAAGCATTGTTTTCAAGCGAATTTTCGGCGATTAGCCCTACAATCTATGCCGCAAGTTCCGTAATTTCTCGCAGTCAGAGTAGAGCTCGTCAGAGCCTAACTAACGATGGTGAGGATACCGACAGCTGGGCCTATCATCGCGTTAAAACAAGCGAAAATATGAGTGACACTCCTCTGCACGCGACAGAGGGGGAATTGTTGTGCTTGTATGTGGGGTTACAGTAAATGCAGCAAGAGTTGCAACGCTGTGTGCTGCAGCTCTTCGCCTGTTACCTTCGATGAACGTGCTGTTGCATGCGTGCAGTCTGCCCTGGAGTGAAGGAGTGCGGAAGTGGGTCCAGTTGCTTTGAAAAAGGCTATTAAGCAATATTGTCTGGATTGCTATTCGTAGTTCAGATGGAGGCACGAGCCGCTGACTTAATGGGTACAGGAAAGAGGCCAGATACATAAAACTGTCGTCAAACCGCTTCTCTGATAAAAACGATTAATGTATTCTCCATAGAATCGGACATAGATTCAGACTTGTATCAACTAGAAAAGTGAGAATCAATCTGCATCTTCCCATTGGTGGTTAGGGGGCTTGTGACTTCTCACGCTTAAACGAGAGCAGTATCTACAAGAGACTCAGCCAAAAATGCTTCATCAAAAGGCAATTCATGCATATTTCGCTAGCCAGACCGTCCGAGTACGGAGGACATTGTGTTGCAATGGCAATGCAGTAAGCCCTTGTGTCTCTGGCGGTATACACAGAGTAGCCTGGTACCCGAAACGAATACAGATATTCCCCGAGAGACAACGATGTCTCTCGGGGAAACGAGAGACATCGTTTCTCGCCAACTCAGCAAGGAAACAGTCTACAGCAGCACTGAAAACAAATAAGGCAGCTTTACCGCACTGCAGCTGCGTATATCAGTGTTTGGTGAATAGAAGCCCCACAGTGGCCTCTAATGCCATGCGCTAGTGGCTCACGGAATTCTGCAACATCCCGGCAGCAGACCCTGACCTTCTTGCCTCTATGTCCAGGAAACCTTGAGACTTGTGAGTGGGGTATACATTGGTAGAAAGTCTCACGTCAAGTTGTGTGACTCTATTTGATGTCACGGCGGTCCTCGGCTGACACCAGGAACTTCCAGAGATCGGCAGCTGACCTCCAGCTGCATCCCTGCCAACTGGGCAGGACGCCTGTCAATGTATTGGAATTGAAAGATAACTTGTATTCACATTGAGAACTATCAAATTAAAAGGTCTATACTATGAAAGATGCGTACTGCAGTCTCCACTGCGAAGCATCCATCTATACGTTCTGTACCTCCAAAGAAGGAGAGTACAACTCGGGTGGTTGAGTAGCCGCCTCCACTTCTGAAAACCCCCAGTGAACGCAAATAACAAGGGGCTTAAAAAATTGAATATTAAAGAAACATCCTACAGATAGATAGCATTTCTTGCAAGACGCCATTCTGCAGCAGAGGCTCGACTACTCTTGGCAACAACTTCAGTCATTTCTGTCGAGGGCAGCAAAGATATTCTCAGCTGTGTTTGCTCGCCTCAGATGAACCAACCATTGAAATAGATTGTTCTTTTGCTGAAAAAGTTCTTTTCATATCTATTTTTGTGGATCGGGTGGATAATTGGAGGAAGAAAAGCTTAATGTGTTTTGTCTTGCATGTTGGCTGGAGGTCACCGGGGAGCCCCAGACTGACGAAGAAGGGCTCGTTTCAATAAATAAATATAATTTTTGCCTGATAATTGAGCTCAAAAGTTTGATGTGGTAGAAGATCCTGTCAGGTGCTGACGTTTCCATCCTATCGACTTAAGGGAACGTTGGTATCTGTCGTTCGTGTCTTCTCGAGGCTTCCTGCATGTCGTTGAGCATCTAAAGAGGCCGTTGTGAATTTGTTTCCCAAGAATCTTCCTTTTCCCTTCTTATTTCTTGGAATTTCAATCATTTCATTCCCAGCGAACCTTCTGAAGACCAGCCTTGTAGTACACCTTGCAAAAAAGGCAGCTCCTCGTTCTCTCCGCACATGAACGATTCCTCCAAGATAGCAAGAAGGAAAAATGGTACCTTTAGCACCACATATTTTTGAGCCCTTTAGACTGCTATTGGGATGGACGCGAGTCTAGCAAATGAACAGCATTCTAGCCTTTTTGCTGGCGTCTGCGCACGAAGCCCGTGCACAGGAGTCTCGAAAGCCCTCGGAAAAGGACGAACAAGGGCATAAACATAATATATGCTGATCGTTTGAATTGATTGTCGTCAGTGTATGTGTCATGGCGTCCTATTGAAGCTCCCGAAAAACTCCGCATGTCGCTGCTTACCTTCGTCGACACCATAATTACGGCAGTGCAAGCTCTGTTTGTTTCTTTGTTGAATTGTCACTATACACATTTAAATGCATCGTACACGTCGTTCGTACTGCACCTACAATGGATAGCATTTAGATGAACGGTAAAAGCATAAACATCCATTCGTGTTTTCAGGAAAGCCGCCAGCGCCGGGGCGCCAGCAGCTTCCGCTATCGGAAGATCGCACCATCTTCCACTGCAGACGAAACTCTCTTTAAATCATGTAGTTATCCTATAGATCGCCGCAGTTTGTATATAACCGGCAAAGATACTCCCATCCGCATAAGCGATATCTTTGATTCAAAAGAGAGCAGCGACGAAGCCCTGCGGAACTCAGCAAGGATTACTTTGGAAGACATTTCTGAAATTGAAGTCAGAAAGCTCAAATTTGCTTTACCGATGGGATTTGTGTAGACAAACTTTAGCGCAACAACCTGTTCAGCAATAGGGGGAAAAGAAACAACTGCCGCTGCTGCGCTGCGCTCCCTCAGAGGCTGAAGGACCTCGACACATCCCGCGCCCACCTACGTCCACAAAATGTAGAAGAGGATATGGAGGAGAGAATACAGAAGTCAAACGTAAGCATAAATTGACCGAAGCGTCCTTTTCACCTTGCATAGGACACACACACATACACAGGGAGATCAGAGAAGGACCAGCTGCCCGTGCTGCTCTATAAAGTTTCTTCTCTCCCGCAGGAGCTGCGAAACAGACTTTTGCGGTTTGACAGCGAACGAAGAAAGAGAGATATTTTCGAAAGGGATCCCTCAAATTCTCCGTCCAACACTGTGTTGGGCAGAGCTCAAGAGGCAAATGAAGAGAGCAGAGAAGAAGTCCGTGCCATGAACAACATCATCTTGAAGTGCAAAGTCGATGCCATTCGCAGTCGTCAAATTCAGCTGAAAAGGTTCGAAGTTACCATATAGTATAGTTACAATAGGCCCTCTCTACTCCAGGGCTTGCAGCCCCATCTGTTGTTCTTCGCACTATCCTGTTTTCTTTTCGGCTGGTTTATGTTTATTCTAACCAAGCAAAATGGGAAATTAGTTTTGTTTGTTGCGAGGGGAGTCCGCCTATATTCAAATATCCCTTTCTTCAGGGAGGCTGCCGAAGAGAGAGAAAGGCTCCAAAAGGAATTAGATGAGATGATGGAAGAAGAAAGAATCAAGAGAGTCAAAGAAATAGACGAAAGGGATGCGCTTAGACTCCAGCGCCTCAAAATGCAGGAAACAATGATCAGACAACAAATTGCAGAACGCCAGGTAGGGCAGAAAAAAACAATCTCTCGAAAACAGCCAATTGAATATCACCTCGAAGGTTGTGCTACAAACAGCTCCTTGCCGCCTTCTTATTTATTTGCTTTTTCCTGTTTTTAATTTCTCGTGTTCTGCACCAAAATGCGAGGCAACCTGGGTCCTCCTATACCTTTTGTTTCTGCCTCAAGTTCCCTCTTTTTGTCATCGCCTGCTTTTCCATAGCAGTGAACCAGCCGCATCAAATACCGTTGTAACGATTTGTACGGTCATTCGCATCAATTTGTTTTAATGGGCAGCTGAAGAGAGAACTAGAGCTGGAGGAGAGAGAGCGAGAAAGAGCACTCGTTCTTAAACAGATGGAGGCCCTCAAGGTGCAGGACGCATTGACAAAGAAACAGAAAGAAGAAGCTGCAAGAAATTTGAGACTCGAAGTCAATGCACATAATGAATTAATCTTAAAGGGTAAGTGCAGGCCCCCATAAGCAAGCACAGCATGAAAATTAAACTAAAAACGTAACAAAACCAAAAGGAGGTTCCTGAAGACAGAGAGAAAACATTCATCTTTTCTCAAATTAGGAGGACAAGCAGCAGCCGAAAAAAGAAACCCTTGTAAAGGGACAGCCTAAATCCCGACTGAGCCTCTTGCTTGCTCGTTTTCTTCCCCCTTTTTCGTCTTTGCATTCATTACAAAGAAAAGGCGCACCGGGCGGCTCTAGAGCAGCTGGAGGAGGAGAAGATTTTGGAGTACCAGCGTGAGAAGAATGCTAGAGAGAAGGAGCTAGAAGAGAAGAAGAAGCAACAAGAAGCAGCTAAACAAAAAGGATATGCTGCAATATATGCCAAACAAGACAGAGAACTCGATAAGGCAGCCCAACTTGATGCGATTAGAGCCAGAAGGCGCGTCTGTAACTCTGAGCTGCCCCCGGCAGTTCATCACACTGCCATTTTTGCAGGAATATTATCCGCAGGAAGCAGCCGTTATAGGGTCAATGGGCAGTATTCATGTTTACATATTTACTAATGTTGTTGCTGCTTAATAAAAAATGCCTGTATGCTCTTCGTCCGGCGTCTGTGGGCAGCAGCGCATTTCTCTTCGCTTCCTCAGATTCACGATTAGGGTTTAGGGTTTAGGGTTTGTGGCTCTGTACACTCTGCGCTGCAGGGCTATGGAGGAGAGGGAGCGGGTGGAGCGCCAGAGAGAAGAGGCGGAGGCTGCGCGGCAGCGAAAAATAAACGACGAATTGGCAAAAGCGCGGATGGAGCAGCATCGTGAGAAGATGTTGAAGCTGGTAGAAACAGCAGTGGCGGAGAAGAAGGAATTTGATAGAGTTGCAGCAACGCAAAGAGAACTTGCAGCAGCAGAACAAGCAAAAAGAGAGGCAGAAAAGGCAAAAAGAATTCAGCATATGGCAGAACTACGCAGACAAATCGAAGAAAGATCCAAAGAAATCGAAAAGCTCAAGAAAAAACAACTCGCAGAAGCAGAGGCGCTCAGACTTGCAGAAGAGGAAGATCAGCGGGCTATTGAACGAGCCAGAGTAAGCTACGTTTCCTTATACCTATACACCTTAGTAACGAATACAAATAAGAATATGCCTAGCAGCTGCCGCTCTTGAATGCATTTGATTAATTAGGAGCTAAAAATGCCTTTAATAGTAGCGGGTGCATCAAGGGAACGGCGGTTGCTGCCTACGTATCTATGCATGTTGTTGGTATTGTTCCTTAATCAACAAGTAACGAAAAGGATAATACAAAAAGAGGGTAATTTTATTTCTTAGTTGTATTTTATTTTTGTTATGAATATGCAGGAAAGAAAACTGGCGGAATTGCAGCAGTTAAGCGACGCAGAGAAATACATCGCACAACTCCGCAAAGTTTGCGCCAAATAGAAATCCCTATTAAACGCCTGCGGCTAGGGAGGGGATGGCCACACGTGACCAGTGGTCCATTTGCACCAATGGACCACTAAAGGAAACAGAAATGGACCATTGAAAGGACCACAGTGGCGGACCACTGATGAGGGCAGTTGAGTGGACCACTGGGTGAACCACCTAAGCATGCGATGGTGGACCACTTAATAGAAATGGGAAATGGACCACTGGTCAACTGCCCACCCCAGCAGTGTTTGAGGGCAACGCTTTACGGCGCACTGCAGCAGCAAAGGCCAAAAAGGGATTAAAAAAGAAATAAAAAAAGACACAAAAAAAAGAACTCTTTTATGTCTTTGCATTCTTTTATACCCTTTAAGCACTCATACTCATATATTCAATCCTTCAACGGCAAAACTGCCTCTTGTCGTCCGGTGCTCGCACACCTGCAAGAAACGAATGACACCACAGCAACTCATCTCTATATTATTTGCTGCTGCTTGCTGCTACTGCTGCTGCTGTTTTTGTTGCTGCTGCATGCACATGCGCACGAAGACAGATACAATACACCGCAAACCAAGAGGGAACAAAGATGCAACAATATTAAACACATTATTTATTGTATTAAAATTAATATTAATTAATATAAATATAAATTAATATATAATAATAGAAATAATAATATATAATAAAAATAAATAAATATATATATAAGATATACATACCATAAGGATTAGCTGCAGAGAATTTATGCCCACTAGCATTAAATCTTTGTTTTTTTTTATCAATTTTTGTTCTCCCTTTTGCTTTTAGATTTAAATCTACCTTAGGAGGAACAGAGAAACCAAATGCCCTCGCTACTCTTTGTAGATCTAAATTATATACATTAAATATATCCTTTAATCCATGAGATGCATACGCCTGCAATACACACACAACATACACAAAATAACAAGTGCATGCAGCTATATATATATATATAATATATAT